TTAAGTTCACACTCACTTCTCTCATATACCTTGTTCCCTTTTTAGATTTCATTCTTATAGAATATGGTTTCATTGACCATGAAGCATTCTTTGTTTGACAGATATAAGAGTCTCTTATAAATTGACAAGGAAAATAGTCAAAGGATAGATCATCTCAAATGAAAATCAAATGTAAAATAAATACATGTTAAAAAAGTTTAGCCCAAACAGTAACTTACACATAAGTAGCAGTGAAACTTTGTTTTAAAAAATTTTCACTCTTACATAGAGGCTTACAATGAAGTATTATTATCAATTCCAACTAGGGTGTCCTAAAGCAGAGTTGTATTGTTGCTTGGGGTGATTATAAAAATAATTAGATGAAGAGTAAAGCAATGAAGTCCTGCGGAATACCAAAAATAGACTTTGGGGCCAGTGTGTGGCAGCCCAGCAGAGTCGACCAGAAAACACTCTTCAAGGTCAACAAACAGACCTGGAACTATTTATAGGCTTTTCTCTTTTGGGGGGTAGTTTTTTATAGTTGTCGTTGTTTAGTTCTTTTGTTTTGTTTTGCTATGCCTTGTTTTTGTGCTTATTAATGTCTCTGCATGTCTATCTAGATAAGATAGGCGAGATAAACAATCCAGAGGAGAAAAACAATGGGATGGATGGTTCCAGGAGTCCATGGGAATGGGAGGTGAGGGAAAGGAAGTGGGTGTTAACAAACCCAGGGACAAGAGAACAACAAGTGATCTAAAATTGATGCCAAGAAGGGCATAGGATGCCTGGTAGGGCTTGATCAAGGGCAAAACCCGAATGAAGGTTGAACATGATAGTGGGACAAGAGGAAAGTAAAAGGAAATAGAGGAAAGAACTAGTAGGCAAAGGGCATTTATAGACGTCTAAATACAGGCATGTAAATATGTAAGTATATTTATATATAACGGTAGGGAAGTAGATATATTTGCATATATTTATATGTTAAGTATCAAGGTAGCAGACAGACATTGAGCCTCTACTGAAGCACTCCCTCAACTCAGGAACACTTTGTTCTGATAATCTGGCATTCCGTGATGCTCAGCTTCACAACACGATTGCTGAAGACAAAATGGGTGCATAGTAAATGTGGTGAAGAAAGCTGATGGTGCCCGGCTATCAAAAGATATAGCAGATGAGCCATTCAGGAGGCAGTATAGCACTGATGAAACATACAACTTTCCTCTAGTTCTTTACTGCTTCCTCCACCCACCCAC